GCCTAATAAAAGTTCCTGTCAATCGTTGGAAGCTCAGCAGCTACGCTCTCATATTCTAGACCATGCCAAGATTACCCACAGTCGAACGTGAATAAGTGTTAAGCGATTACTCAGACTTTTCCAGTCCTCCCTAAAAACAACAAAAGAAAAAACTCACGTTAGGCCCATCACTTGATCGTTCATCAAAGATATAAGAGGTGATATCACCAATGTCAAGGATGAAGACATCAAACCCGGCAACTGATAGCACACACTTTTCCCGTATCCTGAAAAGAATTCGGCCGTTTCGAAAAACAAAACCGCTAAAACTAAAATTAAGGACAAACCAGTAGACATCAACACCAGTTGGTCCTTGCCTTCCAAGGCGTTTCTCACGATGTCCCACTGCTTAGGACGAAACGATGAGTGACCAAAGTAATGCTGAAAAGTGAAGTACTGCTCGGGGTAGGATCTGATAAATAGTTCTTGACATTACTATCCACTAATTCGAAATCCTATTGGATGATCGTCAATATAGACTGATGTACTGCTCTGTACAGATCTGCTCTAAGGCAACCCCTCCTTTTCAAACCCTGACACTCCCTTGATCAGCTTATTTCGCTTCAATTAATACATCTCTTCTCTTTTATCAACTGTTCATAACCAATTACTTTCCCATTCTCTTTAGATGAACCTTTTTTGATAAAACGACCACAAGACGAATGTCTCCAACAACGTAGAAATTTCCCGAAAAATTCAAGCCTTTCAAATTCATTTTAAAGTCAAATAGAGCAAATCTATAGGTCGTGAATACCTTCAATAGCTGGAGAGCCTTCTGAGAAGGTGAATCGCTCAGAAATGTACCATCACGAGATCGAATAGCGGATCCGAGGTGCATCGACTTAGGGAGCTCATCTGGAAAAGAACTCTCAAAAAAAGCCTTTTCAAATCAGTATGGGAGGAACTGAAATTTCCTTCACATTCAGCTGGCGGAGGAGTTGGCGGCAGATTTTGATCGTTCACTTCATCATCGTCACTCTCTACTATGGGCTTTCTTTTACGAGTTGAAGCTGGAATTTTTGCAAGCATCCAACATATTAGGCATGAATGTTCGCTCTCATTTTGAAATCTTCAGAATTAATTCACATTTGGACGAACAACATACCAGGAGGCGGGGTAGGCGGCGGATCACTACAATCATCGTCGTCATCCATAGGAGCAGCACGATCAGGCGAAGCTGAAACACCACTAAATTGTGAAGAGTTTCCATGCATCCTAGTTGACCAAAATCCGAATAATATCCGCATGTGCAATCATGCCGTGAGATGTTGCAGTCAGCATTTACGTCACTTTCATTGTGCTCAAACGTTTAGCTGCCATATCGGCTGGAAAGGTCGATCTTCACGAGGGGTGTCGATGAGTAATGGAATTGTTACCAGACTGCGCAAAAAATCAAACTTCTCTACGAGCAAAATATGGAAACAGCCCCATTTCCGAACAGAAGTGCACCGGGACCCGACCCAATGAGCATTCGCATATAAAGTGTTTCGGGTTGGCCGGCAGGTTACCCACTGTTTTTAAGTTATTCAGTGTTGCATGAGGAAGTCTGCGTAAAAGAAGGTGCTCTCAGAGTAGCACACCAATTTGCTCACAAGCCTATCTCATTTAACCGACTCGATTGCCTGACGATGCTCAAACAACCCTCCGGAGACATTAAGAGAGACAATATCGAACAATAAATTAAAATCGTCCGTAAAGTCGACTCAGTCAAGATTATGTTCACCTCACTTGGAGAACTTGATTTTCATATCTTACATACCTTGACTACCATCAACTGGAGGAGGGGTTGGCGGAAAAGAGTCCTCTGAGCTGTTGTGAAAGTCGATCACACTAGGAGTTGTTATAATAATTTCATCGTCGAACGAGTCATAACCTTCTTCGGCCATTCTTTGGCAACTCTGGAAAGGAACTTGCACCTAATTTTGTGGACATCAGCTCGGAATAGTGAAGTAACAATGAGAATGTTACTGTTGAATACAAGTATATCTGTGCTGCAAATCTGGTTACCACGGTATGGTGTCGAATTTTGGATCGAATCTCGTCCAAGTTTACCGAGCTTTCTACTCACCCAATGTCGGGCAATCAGGGCAGATCTTCTCTGGGATGAAAAACTGACCTTCACATCGCCTGATCTCCGTGACCTACTGCAAGGGTCACTGGATTCAAATGGCGTGGTGATTCTAGATTGCAGTCAGATACACGGCGTATACCAAAAGCAGAATGATCAAATGTTTTGCTATCTTATTTTTACAAGGACCCTTGAAGATGTCATCTCACGAATGAAACCCGATCTTGTAGCCGAAAAAGGCCGGGATGAGACAGTTTCAGACAGGAAAGCGCGTAATCTGCGTAAAATCCCCAGAGCGCCCGCACGCTCGACAACAAAGTTCAGGAACAGATCGTGACGAGGAAAGGTCACCAGGCCGGTCCGGCCATTTTTAATGAGGTATATACCTGTGCATTCGTCATGAGACGATAAGCTAGAAACCGCTTTTCCTTATCTTGCTTCTAAACGGTGCTCTGAACGGAGTTACGGAGCACGTGCTCTGACACAAAGTTTCAGTACATGATTGCTGACGAGTCAAAAGTCACGCAGGCCTGTCCGGCCATTTTTAAATGATGTATTTACCTTTCCCAACCTCACACACTGTACTTAAACTGCCTGTATATAAGCCTGATCATTGGAGTTGCCACTATAGACCAAGCGGAGAGCGGCGATGTGATTCTGTGCGTGTAATTTTTGTTAACTGCTCCGAAGTGTTCCTTTTGTAGGCGAGAGGTCATGGGATCGGTCTCTCGTGGTGTTTGTTGTTTGCCTTTTTGAAAACATGACCAGAAAGGCTTTTAGCGACAGTATCTCCTCAATTGCTGCCTTTACCTGCCTGTGTAAGGAGTTAGGGAGCACCTCTGCGCAGGTTGAAAGCTATTTTTAATTAATATTTGCCATGACTGAAAACGACGCTCATAGCCCACTGATAAGGTGTTTTTGCGGTAAACGAGTATGATATTCGTGTTCAGGAGACCGAATTTTCCCCTGGTTACAAGTTTCCAGCTGAATCTGAGATTTTGACCTACACTCGAGAAAGGGCAGTCAACATACAGTCAAACGAGAGAAGGTATGAATCGAAAACTAACTGGAAAAGCACCTTCCCTGAATTTTGATGCAGAGTCATGTAAATCATTTCCGTTATGCGGGAATGTGAGCCGTTGAACGTTTCTCTTTTCAAAATCTTGGTTGGAAGGGCAATTTCCATGCCAAAGAGTTCAACGATAGGTTGATGATATGATGGTTGACTCACCTCATTTTTTAGGGTTGGGTCAAAATCTCAGATTCGGTAGGAAACTTATCTCCAAGGGTAGTTTGATCTCCTGAACACGAATATCACGCCTGTTTGCCGCGAAAAAGCCTGACACTTGCATTACGGGCACCATGTTCATACATGGACGACTACTGCCCAAACCTGCAAGGAACTGCTCGAAATTTTTTCGTACAGGGAACTAACGGCAAAGTTGATAAATTAAGAAGTTAGAAGCTTTCTGGCTACATCTTCACGAAGCACAAAAGAAACAGACTCTCCGAGGAGCCGTTCCCACGACCTCTTGCTCGCGAGTTCGGGGCACTGCCACTGCGCTTCCTTGCTTTATAACTACGTTCAGAGAATCGTTTAGCAGATAAGGAAGGCAGTTCTGAGCTCAGCGCCTCGAGGCGACTTCAACGGTATACGACTCATTGCAAATGGCCGGACCGGCCTGATGACCTTCCTCGGTGAGTAAAGGAACCTTCGCTCACACATTTCTCATATCAACTAAAACCCACTCCCACGCTGTGACAGATAGAGCAAACCAGCGCGCCATGGGTCGTTGTCGCAAAATCATTTGAAAAAAAAACTTTTGGAATAAGGACTGTGCAGATACCAGGGCAGCTGGCTATAGCCCAAGGTGCTGATCCGAAAAGGTAGTTATGGAGACCATAGATAAAACGATAGTCCAGAAAGCTATCTTCATGGGTGTTTTCAGCCCGGATGATGCGTACCATGTCTTGCTAAGACTGCGGCTAAGACATATCCTATCGCGGGAAATACTTTCGTTACCTTGGTGTGGCCCTCCTCCTTGAAGGAAACTAAAGGCGGAGGGGTGGGTCAAAGAGGAGACCTTGCCCTTGGTACACATCAGCAAACTTTTCGTAGCAGGTGTCTTTTTGCCCTCCCGCTGTACCTGTGTATAGAGTAGGACCTGTAAAAACCAGAGCTTTTATTTCTTGTTATGCGGCGCAACATATCCTCATATCCTCAACATATCTGCTCTATCTCTCTTCTACACTCATTCGCGTTTCGTCTGCACCCCATTAGAGAGAATCTAAGCCGATAGAAGCCCCGTAATCGTAAAACATGGTCAGCTACTCTGCGATGAACCCCGGCCCTTACTAATTGGCTTCAGAAGTAGAAATTTGAAAGATTTAACGAATCAGAAGAAGTAGTGATGGTGACGGGAAACCCTTTTTGCAAACAATAGTAATGACATATTAAAACAAATGACCAAATTATTCATTTATTACAGTGAGCAGATGAAGCGATCATGGATGTGAACAAGAATCTATTGCCGTGAACAAAGTAACTAATCATAACTAATCAACAATTAATAGCAAGTTTGATACAACTTAATAACAACCTGGCATGCAAAAGGGTGATGAAGGCTTTGCATACGAAGTAAATGAAGTGATACTAACACACTGTGTACACTTTCGGTTTTACGAGGTACCGGAAAGACCTCTTAGCTAAGGATCCGCGAGAGAATTTGTGCCTGAAAACATAACATATATCAAATCGGTCCAATTCGTTTGAAAGATAAAGCATTTGATAAAATAAGAATAGACGGCATCACAAAGCCAAAAGGAGTAACGCAAATAACTCACCGCAATCGTTTTGTATAGCTTAATCCCACGACTGATTGTACTTTCTCGCGATAACGCATTGCCACTTCGACTATATTCAACGGTTCGGTGTCAACCACAGCTTCCACAGAAGTATCCGTACTAAAATCAGACTTGCAGGTGTGAACTGTAATCTACACCATACGAAAAATTGAAAAACCCAAGGTTTTCTTTTAGTGGGATGAAACCATAATAGACGAACCTTGGGCTTACAGCGATCCTTCAAGTAATAGTTTTCTTTTGAAAACTCTTCAAGAGATGCTTCGGCAGCTTTACGCCCAAAGAAGAACACTCTAAAATCTCAGGCCATGTCAATCGAAAGAAAAAACATAGAAAAAGTAGAAAATAGGATGCAAAGCAGCATAAATAACAAATTCGCCAACCTATCTGCCGTTATTCCCCAGAGTCGCAGAAGTCCTTCACGAGCAGCCATGTCCGCAGCAATGCTCAGTGTTTCACCAGCACCTTAAGTTTCTGTTTAAAGCAGAAAAACGAGAAAACAAGGTGCAAAATCAAGTATACTTGTTTCCAACTAGCTTCCGTATTTGTCTTTGTATGATGCTCGAACAAAGCGCTACACTTGTTCACGCACTTACAGGCGCAGAAGAACGCGAGAATCCTGTTGCAATCCTAATGGAATAATTATGGCCAGATCTAAGGACATGCAACACCGATAATAAGAACAAAAATTTAAGGCATGTTCTTTGGGTCAGACCTTTGGAGTATGCGCCACGCAAAAAACTCCATTTTTATGATCTATGGTAGCACGTGAAATACGATGTTTGCCATAATTAATGACTTGTGGACAAGGCGAAATACAATTCAACGGTTTTATTCCCCTTACTCATATCGTTGCCAACTGGTGACCGAAATGGGAAGTTTAGTTAGCCTAGTCGGAGATGCGACCCGAGGATTCTCATCCACGATCTAACGGGTCCAGGTAAGCCAGCACTTTATCTTTACCATCATTACACAGGTTTACGTCCACCCATATTATATTCGAAACCTTCTTACAGAAACATAGAATTTTGTTGCAAAACTTCTTTTATATCTATGAAATCATCACTTTTGTAGAAAAATCGTGGCAGCAAGAAATATACCTCTGTAGCGCCTTCTTGTGTGAGTAGGTCAGTCAACACTGCAAGGGGATCACGCAAGTTGTAGACATCAGCAAAATCGATATCAATAATTTGAGGTATAATCATGTCGATGATAAGATTTTTTGGATCGCTCCTCGCCTATAGCAGCGAGCAGAGCTCGAAAAGCATCTGCGATCGAAGACGCTGCTGGAGGATGTTCAGCGGTTCGCAGCAATACATCGACTCCTAAAAGTCTGATATATTCTCATCTGCCGAAACACATAATCAGCAATTTTCTATGATAATCGAGACGTTAATTCTACAGATAAATGAAAGAGCGCGCAAAATCAACAATGTATTCCCTGCCGCCCGAGCACTAATTAGAATTGGGTAGTAAGCCTTAAAAGAAGCGATTACGATAGATCTCAAAGGGGTTTAGAGGGGACGTGGGGGTCTCAATAGTACGCCAATGGCGAAAAAAGCAAAGAAATCCGTCGAAAATAAGCAAAATGGTACCCCTTTGATTGCCCTTTCATTTTCGACCATGGATGAGCGACGGGAAAGAACGAACGTTGTTTCGGACGGTTTACCCCTAAAGCCGCCACCATGCTAACAAGATAATGTTTTCTGTATTGACTAACGCGAATACGTGGCAAGGTTGGAAGATACAGCCGCTAGAAGGGAAATGATCATCCAAAATGAAAAGCCAACAGCAAACAGTCCATCCAGATCATCAACAAAACTAGTGGGCGTTACGTCACTGGGGGCGGAGCGTCACACGGGTCCTGCTCTCAGCAACCACAGCACCTTTCGCCGTGGAGGACCACACATCGCTTCCTTGGCAGCCAAGTAAATTGCTCCGGTGTGGCCGCAAGTTTTCCATGTAAAATCCGTATTTATAATCGCTTCTTCAAATGCAGAGAGTCGGTTTCCAGTATGGGGTTTATGGGGACGCAAGCTGAGCAGGCTGAGATCGGAGATGCGGACATGAAACGACAGGGAGAAAAAAACGAAAAGAAAGCTCGAAAGGCCGAAAAGATACCCCGCTCACCAATGATGTAGGAAGAGGACTTCCTATGGATAAGCAGTGGCCAAACGAGTTTACGGAACCTATACCATTGCCGGCCATCGCGGTTTATACAGCTAATCAAATTAAGGATGGATTCAACATGTGAGATGCCAGCCATCGGCACAGCATCCGCGTGGACGAGCCTAGCTGATGCCAACCGAAGCGAATCCTGTAAAGTAGTAGGCCAGAGCACCGGCGTCCCTAATTACCAGGGTAAGCAGGGTGAATATCGCTTGAGGATTCCTCAACGGCACGTCGAGGATTCTCTGCCCGGTCAGACACGATCTCTCGCGCGGACATTCACACTCGCCATGGGCGTGCCGTCTGTGCTCTCCGCGCGGATGTTCACTCTCGGCACTACTCTCACATGGTAGAGAGCTATGGTCGAGGAAATCCTCGACCGTTATTCACCCTGGTAGTGGCAAGTGTGGATACCGGTCCGAGCGCCGGGAGTCCTTGGCTATAGTGATGATGAGAAAGCTTCTAGACGTCTAGTCCTGAGAGATGGTAGGAATGCTGTAGCAACTTCTGATCTCCCTGTCGTTTCTCCCCTTTTCTGGGTTTCCGGTTAGTCCTCACGTCACAAACCAGCGGTGTTTGAGTGCCCAGCATTGCCCCCCCCCCTCCTAAGGACCGCCATAAGATGAATGTGATAATTATTTTGAATTTTGAAAAAAAAGACGCTCTGGTGAGCTCAATAGCTCTAGTCTGTGTGAGGAAACGGTATTAATCAAAGGAAGAAATTTTGAGAACAGAGATAGAAATGAGAGAAGACCATCCAATGAGAAAAGTCGACCAAAAACAAACGCTCATGAAAACGACCTTCATCACTGCAAAAACAACTACTGGAACGATGGTCACACGAATGCAACAGTTTTCCCCGCTACTATGAATTGTTTTAAAATTTGAACGAACCTAAGTGTTTAGCAATGTCGGCCAACTGCTGATCTGAAGCTCAGTTGTTGCACAACAGCTTGCACAAATTCCTCTGGAGCTAATGGAAGCTGACAACGCAGGTAAGACGACAGAACTCGAGATATGAATTTGTTACCTTAAATAATTCCAAAAAAGATGAGAAAAAGAAAACAGTAAGAGGAAATGAAAAGGTAAACGAATGGGGAAAAAAGGACTACCTTTCTCTACCAGTTCCGTGTTGCTACCCTCACCAACATCAGTTGACTGACTCGGTGCTGCACCAGCAGCACCCTCTTCAATATCGGCACGTGTATAGAAAGAGCTCGTTGTTAAAGCCTGCAGCAAAGCTCATGAGAATGTGCAGCTAATCTCCGACTCTGCTCATCACTGAACCAACCCCACCTTAACTAGCTCTTCCGGTTGGACATCAGGAGCACCAATACGATGACCGAAAGCATACACCTCCGAAGCGTAATTCCTGAAATGGCACCAATTTCTCTCGGACATTTCTGCTGACTTTCGCTAACCCTACTCTATTCCATGTTGTGCCCTAGATACGTAAAGAAAAATAGAAAACTAGAAATCTAGCAAAAGTTCAATGTTTATTCGGCCTATCAATTTAAAACATCACAGATTGAAAAGTGCCACATAATTTGAGGCTTAGGTGTTGGAAAATATGACTATTGTGAGCAATAAAAGGTGTGAGGCACCGGATAACACAGCAAAAAGATTCCTGATGTGACACGTTAGATGGGTAACAAGTTGAGAGGTATACCAACATAGAATTAGTCTAAGAAAAGCTAAATTTTCTGAACTACAGAGTCTATCGACTAGAATAAGGTACTATGAGACATCTACATCCTGAAAACACCAAATTTCGTCTCAGGGATCGGTTTCTGCAACGTAGCTTGCAGTGTTAATCCTAATACTTTGCGAGTCTCTCGAGGATCAATGACGCCATCATCCCAAAGTCGTGCAGATGCGTAATATGGATGACCTTCTTTCTCGAATTTTTCCTCCACAGGTCTTCTAAGTGCCTCGTCCTCTTCCTAAAAAAATTGGCTTTTATAGTCAAAAAAGAGAAGCGATTATACTGAACAATACCTGGGTCCACTGCGATCCCTCCCGCTGCCTTTTGTCACGTTGAACAGTAGCAAGGACATTAGCGGCCTGCTCACCACCCATTACGGAAATGCGAGCGTTCGGCCACATAAATAGGAATTGTGGACTGTACGCTCGGCCGCACATTCCATAGTTTCCTGCGCCGTATGACCCACCAATCAACACCGTCAGCTTTGGAACGGATGCACATGCCACAGCAGTCACAAGCTTGGCGCCATGCTTGGCGATCCCTCCTGCTTCAGCTTCGCGTCCCACCTGAACCAAATAATATTGTGGCATTTCACAGAGAATCTTTGCGAACGATGCTATTAGAATGGATGAGGGAAGTCTGACCATAAAGCCAGTTATGTTCTGAAGAAATATCAGAGGAATCTTCCGCTGACAGCATAACTCTATGAAGTGTGCTCCTTTCATAGCAGATTCCGAGAAGAGAACACCATTGTTTGCAAGAATTCCAACGGGTTGACCGAAAATCTTCGCAAAACCTGAAATTAGGGCTCTTGGAAATTAAAGGGCAAGAATTAATAAAAGGTCACACGAACGAGATTAATAAACTACCTGTCACAAGTGTTTCACCGTATCTTTCCTTGAACTCATCGAAACGAGAACCATCAACAATTCGAGCAATCACCTCTCGCACCTCGAAAGTTTTCTTGAGGTTTGCTCCCACAATACCTAGCAGCTCTTCCGCCGGAATACAACGGCTCTTCGACTGAAGATTGAACAATCAAAGCGAATTTTTCAGAGTAGTAGTTACTAAAAAAAACGGAAAGGAAAACATGGCAAACACTTACAGTGATCGGCGAATGTGGTGGCTCCTGTGGGTGGGCCCATTCCAGCTACAGCATTCCGCGCCAAATGAAGAGCGTGCGAATCGTTGTGCGCATAGTAGTCCGTAACACCAGATTCGCCACAATGTAGATCAGCTCCACCAAGCTCTTCGGCAGAAATCTGAATCCACAGAATGCCAAATTTCAAATATTCATAACAATTCTTGAACTTCAGTTATATAAAGCAAAGAAAATGAAGGAGCGAAAGTCCACACTTTATAGTGACGAAGACGACTAAAACTTACATCTTCACCCGTAGCTGCCTTGACAAGAGGAGGACCTCCCAAGAAAACTGTTCCAGTGCCTTTAACTATGATCGCTTGATCTGCCATGGCGGGAACATAAGCGCCACCAGCTGTGCAGCTTCCCATTACGACGGCTAGCTGGGGAATACCTTTGCTGCTGAGAGTTGCCTTAAAACATTTCCATCAACCTTCTAGACAAGTAAAAAAAAGAATAAAAATCTCAGAGAAGCTAGAAGTAAATATTAGTGTTTTACCTGGTTGTAAAATATCCTTCCAAAATGATCTCTATCGGCGAAAATGTCAGCTTGACGAGGCAAATTCGCACCACCAGAATCAACTAGGTAGATACAAGGTAAGCCATTTTCTCTGAAAGGGAAATCGGTCATATAAACGTAGTTCACAGTGGTTGAGACTTCTAATAAAAATGAAAATATACAATGATGAACCACCTGGCAATTTCTTGTGCTCGGAGATGTTTCTTCACAGTGATGGGATAGTAGGTACCTCCTTTCACGGTGGCGTCATTCGCAGATATCACACAAACGCGTCCTGAGACGGTTCCTAGACCGGTAATGACCCCACCTGCAGGAACTTCTTCACTGCCATATAACTGGAAGCCGGCAAGCTGGCTCAACTCCAAGAACGAAGTTCCTGGATCGATCAGCGCGTTGATCCGTTCACGTGCAAGCATTTTTCCACGACTCTTGTGGAGAGCTCGAGCTTTTTCACCTCCACCTTCGGCGATCTTAGCAATCTTTTGACGTAAATCATCCACTATTTCCTTCATTTGGGTGTAATTCTGCTTGTACTCTTCAGAATTGACATCAACCAACGATTCGATTTGAGACCACTGTTGAGCATTACCACCAAAACAGTGATGAGAACGCACGCTAAAATCCGCCACAATGCAAGGCGGGATTGGAGATGAAAAAAATTTGAGCAAAACATACATACAAAATAAGCAAAGGGCACCCAATCACATGGAATAGAGCTATTATAAAAAATCTGTACTGTACCAATTAGGATAGGATGACCGATGAATAAGCGGATCTGCGCCCAGCAGTTGTCTTCGGTGGTATAGATCCTTGTAGTACCCACGCTCCCATCTCGCTCGAATGAATCTACCTGAATTTATTAGTAGTATAAAGTATAGATATTACAATTTGGACTTGCTCTTGACAATTTAAGGTTCAAGTTAAGTTTCGAGTCCCGTCTACGGCTGTGTTTCGCGTATAACCCGGGATTCTTGTGATAAGCTATTGAGTTCAATCTAAGGTATAAAATAAACAACGGGACAAGGAAAAAAGATATCGCTCGGTTCCACTTCTCTGCAGGTTCCGAAAGCAACAAAAACTCGTCTGCGCTCTTTCCGTTGATAAGAAAGGAGAAACAGTCACTAACACGCACTTATCTCAGGAACACCTCCGAATCGCGCTATCCTAAGAATACTAACACCACCCCACCAGGCATAAACAAAAATTGAAGTAGAAAGCAGGATACGAAAAGAAAAGGCTAGAAACAGTCCTTGACGTTACCACATTCCATCTATAACATCATTTCCTAAACATCTCTCCCCTCACGATCACGAGATTGACTGTCACATCCAAGAATATCATGATTAAAACAACTTACATGCTTGTAAAGAAGTTGTCCGCGCGGGGAGCCTTTGGCACACGCTTCCAAGCATTGTGAGGAAGATGTGCCCTGGAAGAACCAAATACATGATCCATCATGTGATCAAAACACACTTAGAATGATAATAATATTCGAGAGAGATTGCGAGCACCTCTGCGAAACATCATAAATCTGCGAAGATTCCGTTCAAAAAAGCATTAACCTTCCACTATACTTGTAACATATTGTGCTCTACACAGCCAAACGTAGGAGAGTTGCTATCTCGACTTATTCAGCAATTTCCGAATATCAAAACGTATACAAACTCTTTATCCGTAAGCATTTAACAAATTGATGCATAGAACGGACGGATAGTTACGAGATACGCGAAAACAGCTGTCAATTAGGTTTAGAAGTCAGAAATTTGAAAGTCTGCATTCCTAAAAACATGAAACAAGGGTCCCGAACACCCATGTTGTCGCTTTCTCAGCATTCGAAAAAACAAGCACAGCGGTAACTTACATGGTTAAACAAATCCGCTAATTCTCTAAAATTCAGCGTAACTCACCCACATGTTTTACCTATGAGTGGCTTAGATAGCTTGAATTTTTAGCGAGTATTATGATGGTGGGCGGAAGTGGTGTAGAGCAAGTGGCAACGGCTACTACGCGCACGGTCCGGGATCAAATCCTGGGTCGTGAGTCGCCCGGGCCAACCAAGCCTTCCATCCCTCCGGGGTCGGTTAATTGGTACCAGACTTGTCTGGGAGGATAAAAACACTGACTTGTACATCGGCTGGCCCCCGCAAGTCATTGTATAGGCCACATCGCATTCAAACGCCACTACGAATGTACAAATGGAAGTAGAATGCGTGCCGCATCCCAAAAGGGATTGATCAACGGCAAATGCTTTATCCCTTTTTTATTATCAGATGCTTTGATGAAATTCAGAGTCGTCTTGTGAACAAACAGAAACTCACGTTGAAAATTCGCAACAACATTTACGAGCAAAAAACCCTACATCTCACCAAAGTTCCAAAATCCAGGTATAACGAGATTCAAATTATTAGTATCCAAAGCATAAAGGAAAAATAAAACTCAACACCAATAAACCAATTGAAACAAGCTTATCCATTGACAACAACCCATAATTCGGAAAATACGGACGCAAAAGAGAGCTAGGAAACCACCGTACCTGTCCACCGGGACCTGCGCGCCCGCATTACCGCGAACCTCGAAGATTTTGGCGTATGCTGAATGTTGGTAGGGACGGGATGGAGCCCGTCAGAGATGTCCGCCGGCGCGAAAAAACGCACAGGCGAAAATCTCCGCCAAGATTTAGATACGCATCGACTGAGAAATTGTGAAACGCGTAAGCGAAACGTCCGGAGCAGGCGAATTTCAGTCAAGAGTTTGATATGTATCGACTGTGAGAAACGCACAGGCGGAAAATCGCGTGAGCGAAGCGTTCGTAAGTCGATGCGTATGATACTCATTTTCGTCGATCCTCCCACTTCACGATTCGCCTGTGCGTCTTCGTTCATCGAATGCCATATCCCATTTTTCCTCTATCTTTTCTGCCGCCAGCGGACATGCTCTGAACGGGTGAACGTTGGGAGGTTCGTCGCAGGACCCTTCTGGGCAGCTGTCGCACCTTCAATATTGCAGCTCTGTTTGTATTCTTTCATCGCTGCTTTTGGTATGAAGAAAGATATTTACGTGCGAATATACAATCAGAAACAGTAAAAGGGTGAAAACAAAGCTGCAAAATCAAAGGTGCGACAGCTGCCCAGAAGGGTCCTGCGACGAACCTCCCCAACGTTCACCCATCCCCGTCCCCTACCCAACATTCAGCATACGGCCCCTTTGTGGATGTTCCAAATCCGGTTGGGTTTCATTTCGTAGCCGGTTCGTGTATGGTCCAGTTTGGTCAAGTTGTGGTTTTCGGGAAAATACGATTCTGACCGAAAAATCGCACTCACTAGAGGTGGACGCGTCAAAATCGCTCATCCATCTGAAAAGTGTCCTTCCTTTGCATTTTTTCTTCTTCATTTTTCTTCTTTCAACTCATTATTCAATGGATGGTCTGCTCTCTCGTGGTATTATTCGTTGAAGAAATGAGTCAAGCAAGGAGAGCCATTTTTAGTCTCAAGTTCGGATCTCACCCAGTGAAGGGAGGGGTAATTAGTTGCCGTTGCTGCCGCTTATAGAATTTCCAATTTTTACAAGGGAGGGAATCCTCGGGGTGCGTGAACCATTTCATTGATCACTCTGGCGCTCCCTTCTCCTGCAAAAAAATTGGAGTACTTGGGGCGACATAGGCTGCCCCCATCACCTGATGAGACCCAGAGTTCTACTCATTCTCCCTTCAAGTTGCTTCTCGAATAGTTCTTTTGCACTCCATTCATTTGAAAACCTTATCTTTTTGCCCTTGCACTCTACTTGCAATGCACTTTTGATTTATCAAAGGCCGCGCCAATTTTTTCGGCGGCAATTGCACCCGTTTGGATTTCCTGTCATACTCAAAAGCCCTTGTTTAGTTGCCAACCGATACGGGATTCGCCGACTAACACCAACGGGAGCGAAGCGGAAGGCAAGTTTATTTATTATTTAATAGGCGTAATATTAAAAAAGACTCCGTTTCCAAGCTTCATCCAGATGATACGAGCTTAAGCCACTTTGAAACCAACAAAAGTGCACCCGTCAAGGCCTTGCCACACTAGTCGTGTCTAGTATTTGTGGAACGGACGCTCTGTGAAAAATGTTTCCCATAGCGGTGCCCTCTCGCCAACCACACCTGTGCAAAGTGCAATACGGTATTGCTTCGGTTAATAGGACCGAGCAATTGCGTCGTTTCAAGGGCAATCGTTATTCATCATCGCACAGGACATTTCAGCGCATTTCACCGTAACTCGGGTCGACAATGGAGTAAAATGACCCACCACTTCTATCTTAGGTAGAACTTTGGGTGCTCTTGTAAGATACGGGGCATCCTCCCTACGCGAATAGGTGGTAACTTAGGGGACAATGAGATTGCTTACAGGGTGTGGTTCACTAGGCGCACGCGAAACATTTTTTCGCTGCGGGAACCTCAGGTCCACCGCTGATCATCAGTGGACCCGAGGTTCCCGCAGCGAAAAATGTTTCGCGCTGCGAAACGCGAAAAAGTCGCTTTCTGTCCTTGTGAACCACACCCCTGCTTACAAATCCTGAGCTCTCTCGTTTTTCTTTTCCCACCCAAGGCTTAGTCCCGATTCTAACAAAAAGAGATGTTTTACGCGCTCCTAAATGCATTGCCATCACAATGCTCCCGTATTTAGCGCTGAGCTTTGAATTAAGTAGTGGGACTAAACAACTCTCAAAGAAAGTTACCTCAATGAAAATAGAGTAGGGAAGTTTACTCTTCAAGCTTATATGGCACTGAAAGGGATAGAGATCCGGAGGACTAACCCGTACGTTCTATTGAAGGAATTTGGCTAAAACCGAGGAAAATATTTGTGGAATGATTGGTACGGTCCGTTCAAGTTACTAACGGCCTAGAAACTGCATAATGTCATGCTAATAAATGTCAATGTTAACATACTTGACATTAATACTTTCGTACCACAAGTCGTCCTGTTAATGTTCTTTCACGAGTAGAAATCTACGGTTACTGAATTGTGGTAATTGAGACGTAGACGCAACATATAGTATTTGAAGACAAAAAACAAGAACACAAGCTAATGCCCATCAATTTATTTTTAAGCTAATACTTCCACAGGAGAAAATATGCTCATTTATTCACAAAAAAGACACATCGCGATGACTTTGCTAATTATTAGGTGCGCACTTCTATAAATACTTATGTTTTCTTCCAACAATTCTCAAGACTTATTATGATTGAGCAGGCTCAGCACACATTTACGAATACTGTCATAACTTAATGTTCATGCGGATTTAGATTGTATCCAATGAAAGGTATTCACTTGCATGTTATCAACATCTTATATATCCCTAAAAACGAACAGACAAAGTACATAATCATCTTTAAGCCATACCTTAATCGTACAAACCTTTGACCCGGAAGTTATCAATAGGCAAATTGCATTAAAAGAATTCAAATTCCACAGTGAAAGAATACAAGACCGTCAGTTGTGCAAATTCGTAGATCAAAAAAGCAGAGGGCAGTCTTGAATAAGGCTACAAATCGAAGCGACCAAATGAAGCGAAATTAGAATAGCGGAAGACAAACGGGAGGAAGGACTTTGCAAGGAATTTATAGCTACAAATACACGTCTTATAAGAAAGGGCAAGGAATGATTCTTCCAGGAAACTTCGTCCGGTTAAATCTAGACCGGAACTTTCGTGACTGTATCGGTATAATCTGCAGAAATCAAATAGTCAAGCACTAATCCGACAAAGCTTTTCTGTGGTGTTTGTTGTTGTATGCTCGGCTTTTCCGGTTGAAAATACCATCCCATATGATGATCGCATTTGCTGCAAACACAGACCGTCCACTGCATACCTGGGAACCATGTCGCTTCCGTTGAAGGTTGTCCTCGGAATTTCAAATGTGCACTTTTTGTAGTAAGCACATGAAAAGTTTCTTCTGCTGGATTTTCGAATACGTGAATTGTGGCAGTTTTTCCGACAATTGGAAAGTCGTATTTGTATTTGAAACGATGTTCCGACACGGTCACATTAACCAGTTCCGACTGTCTTGTAATAGTTGCTCCGCAATTACGACACAGCAACTCACCGACGTGACGACTTTCCACAAATAATACTTGAAGGGCGAAAAAAGCCAGTCGAAATACGCAGGAAGGAAGCATTTTGTCAGCGACAATGGTTTGATGTTATATCCACAGAATGATAGACAGTCTTCCACAACTGGATACTTTATGCGTGCGGTCGCGGCGCGGACTTGTTTCTTTCGTGTAATTCAAGCAGTTTATTTCCTGTCTGAATTGTTGTGATTTCTTCGATTAGTTCCATTCCTATGCGTTATTGAGCTTTTACATTTATCTAAGACGGATATATATCTTACATTTTATGTGTGGGTCTTCTAGTTCTTCAAAAAGTTGGTATTTCAAAAAGATATCCTTTCAAATACCGCAATGGGTCTGTTGAATGCAGCTAGCTAATAGCTGGCTGTTCTGGGAGCTGACCTCAACGCAAACAGGTGTGTTGGTGACGCAAGACGGCGTGCTATCGGCACCACCAACCAAGCTGAGGTTACGGTATCGATCGGTGCGATCCTCGCGTCCTCCCTCCCCCGCTGGTCGACCACTGACCGACCCCGATCACAGTTTAGCGTTCTTCATTGCCGTGACCAGGGCCATTTGCTCACTATTACGGTGCTAGATTAGCATCTTCCCAGCCCCCTCGTCCGCTGGCACCGAGGAAAACTTCGGTACTAGATGAATGATGCATCGGATTCAAGGTTAGTCTCCTATTTGACGGTCTAATTGGCTCGACTCCATCACTCACATATTTCCTACAATTCGCTGATCTAGATTCCTCTATGCTGTTTTTTGAATTTGGTATAATTTGCGTTCGTCCAGGCGTTGAATGCTTGAATTCCTCTAATAATTATGCAAAATAGTAAAAAGATCATCGCCATTATCATAACTGAGTTTCATACTTAATCACGATCCTTTACTAGGTTTTCTAGACAGTTTGGCGCTCATGTGTATGGGGGGCATTCTAGTGAATTAGCTCATTAGTGTACTTTGGAATAAGCCTGGGAGGGGAAGGGATCCTGGGGACAGGGCTGACCGTCCGTTCGCAGTATTCGAACGAGGGGGTGGCATTTGCGATTTGGGGAAGGATGAGGGTCGCATTTCGGGTTTGAGTAGGTTAATTACATTTTGAAAAGTATGTGTGGAGGCTCGTAAAAAGGGAAAAGAGGGGTTGTATTTGGAAGATTTTTCAACAGTTCGATGGAAGTTGGGTGGAGTAGAGGAGTTGATGTAAATTTGCCGCTCATGGTACCAATTAGGGGGGGGGGGCATCTCACCCTCTTGAAGGGAAGGGAGTCGCAAAATTTTGGAAAAGTGCGAACACTGTACTTAACCCTGTTGGGGGAACATGTGAGCACTTTTTTCTCCCTGGCATTTCTCCCCTTCGCTGGTCATAGTCCCAGTCTCATCTACCATCGGTCCGGTTTTGAATGTCCACCCCTCCCTCCCCCCAAGGACATGAGCGCCTCTCATTGAAGATTGAGCGGTGATATAGTGGCAAGTAGCGCCTTTGTTCCGAGTCAGATCTCGAATAGAATCTCATCCAGCCCAACCAAGCTTTCCATCCCTTTACGGTCGGTTCCGAGAATTGTGTGAGTTAGAGAACTCCGTTTGTGGACCGCTTGACCGCTGGAAGTTATTATATAGGCCAAATCGATTTCAACTGCCACTACGATTCTAATTGAAAGAAGTGGAGTGCGTGGCGCATTCCAGAAAGTAGCTGATCAACTTTGAATGCTTTATTCAATGCTATCATGTCCTGGAAATGGTGTATCTTTGAAAAAAAAAGAAAACTCAAAAAACGAAAAGTTCCGGTATTTTAGTTCGATGGCACCTCCCAAGCGAGCAGGATTGTCCGTTGCCCAAAGAAATCCAAATGTAATCGCCGCACCCACAGGAAAACTAAGTCGGCAACATGGCTCGAGTAATTTGCTGAAAGAGAATGTGGCTAAAAAAGGTCATAAAGAGGACAGAAATATAAGGGTGAGCTCGAAGTATTGCTCTCAATATTCTGTTTGTGCGGTCGTGAGTAATCGCTGGTGCGCAAATTGTGACTTTAGACTTGCTTCCCTTTCAACGATGGCTTTCAGCAAGCCGCCACCACGGCGTCCGGCATTCCTCAGTCTCGTGCAGTTGTACCACCAGTGAGACCCACATTTGAAGTCTACTGCGACAACGATGATGAGAACAATGTCATCCATCAGCTTGAAAAGCAATGTCAAGAGGAGAAAATACCTAAGAAGACAGCGGAGGAAGTAAGCGTGATATTTGCTATAGTCTTCGTAGCCATCTTTGAAATTGGCACTGCATTGTTTTCAAAAACGCTATTCTTCAGCCCAAGGTCACTAAAGTTCGTAAGCCTCTTGCAAGTCTTCCGGTCACGACTTTGGATTTTAATTCGGACGACGACGTTTGTTTCATTTTCGTCCTTGATTCTCAACCATGTTTTATTTCGAAAAGTACCTTTTACAATTTTTAGGAAGTTTTCTCGACGTTCTCCCATGTCCCGTCGGGCCCTCCTACCATTCGATCCGAATTTTCAAATTTTGGTATGAACGATGATGATGACGCGAAGTCATCACTGTATGGGAGTGCCCTCGATTTTGAACTGGACAGCCGTGATGAGTATGTGACTGCAATTTCTGAGAAAGAACTCCGAGAGGATATCATCTATGCTAATCCGGAGTTTTCAGAAGACATATACAGGTTAGGAGAGCTTTGTTCGCCTGATCTAGACAATTTTGTGACGTTTATAAAACAATGACTTACAGGTACATGAAGCATAGGGAGATAAAGGTGCGGCCGAAGGCTAACTACATGTCGAGGCAAGACGATATTAACCCTGAAATGCGGGCTATACTTGTTGATTGGCTGTCGGATGTTGTTCAGGAGTACAAAATGCATCAGGTTGGATATTAGTTTTCAAAAATACGGTTGTAGGTGTGACCACTTCTACTATAGTACGGTCTTTGGTTACGCAACCAATGCTGTTAAGAACTAATTTTTTGATATGTGGCAAGTTATTTGAAAAGCCTACAAAATATGTAGCTCCGTTTTATGGTCATTGCCTTTGACCTTACATCTGCCCAAGGGCTTTCCGTTTTCGGCTTATTGTTAGATTGATGTTCCATTCTATTATGAAGGTTTTATAATTCCTATTCCGTTAGTGGTATAAATGGGTTTTCTTCAAAAATGAGTTCTTTTTCACTTGCAGTCACTATTTAGTGAAAACTAATGAATAATAATAATGCCTCAGAATAGTGTAGTTCAATTCTAGGAAACACTGCACCTGGCAGTCTCGCTAGTCGATCGAACTCTTTCAAAATTTCGAACAAATCGTGATCGTCTCCAACTTATTGGCACAACGGCTATGATGATTGCATCGTGAGTACTCTAGCTCCTCTTTACAAAGCGGGAATCTAGCTGAGCATAATATTTTTTCTTTCTCAGGAAATACGAAGAGATATACCCGCCTGAGTTGAAGGAATTCACTTACATCACGGATGACACTTACACTGCTATCCAGGTTCAGTTTTGTCATTTTTTAAGATCTCATATTTTTTGAAAACTGGGATGCATCACTCAATATAGTTTTTTGTCACTTGAAAATTTTTAAATTCGGGTGCGTATGGAACATAGTCATGATGGATTGTTCTATTTACCTATCATTCCAGTATCTAGTTCTCTATCTTTCTCCTCACTGAACTCTTCCAGATTCTGCAAATGGAGCGGGTTATTTTGAATGAACTGCACTTCGATGTTGGTACTCCTACATCGCAGTGGTTTGGTGGTAGATTCGCTCGACATCAGAGGGCCTCTCGCAAGACCATAAATGCAATGAATATGCTGCTTGATCTTGTTCTCCTCGATATAACCTACATTGCGTATCGTCCGTCATACATTGCTGCGGCTTGCCTATGCTATGCCAACGTTTTGACAGGTAGGACTTACTCGTTCGATTCTTTTTATGGTCGATAAGTTTAGGGTGTTTTACCGTTCGAAATTGTTTCCCTTTTACTTTTGGAGGCTGAGCTGGAGTTAAGCGTTATCAGCTGATTTCACTTATAATCTATGTGTTTTGCCTTCTAAGTATTTCTGCGTTTGCTCAACAACGTTTTTAAGGACCGATTCCGTGGTCTACAGAAATGGAGCGGTGGTCTGGCATCTCAATTGCACATATCACCAATCTTCTACGTGCCATACACGAGACCTTCCGGTCTTCGCCCTCGTCTAAGTATCGGTCAATCCCTCAACGGTACAGTTCTCCAGATTTTGATTATGTAGCTGACCTCCCTCCACCCGCTCAGTTGCCATTATGATAACGTCTGTCCTTGAAAAGATTAAAATTTGAATTTGATCGCTCACAGGTTTTCCTGTAATAGTAATTTTCGTTTCTTTCTCGAGATCTCACTTTGATCCACAGACTTTCATTTAAGTACGCGGTATTTACAAGTTTCGTCTACCCTATCTTCTCATAACTGCGTAATGATGTATAATGCTGTAGTGTACAAAGCCTTATTTATTCCTGTTCATGAAACATTTACTGAGCGTTAGAAATGTTAGAAAAACCAGTTTTCAGTAGTCTGATATTGAACTCATTTGTCCATGGTAAGCTCTTGAAATCATATTGAACCCATTTACCCATAGAGACTTTTTGAAACTAGCTGTTTCCGAAATTTGCCCACGATATTTGCATGTTCCTTACGATATTGAAACTTTTCGCATATTGATCCACTAACATTAATCTCCATTTCATCTATGTATCGTATGTGTCTAATCAAGACCAGTTATTGCTAACTATCATGTGTATGATTTCGATAACGAAGACGATAAAGGATTTCCTGTATTTCAATAATTTTTGTTTTATCGCAGTTGAAACTGGTGCCTTGTGTGTACAACGGTAAGAAGACGAATCTAATGGGTAAGGAGGGAGTGAGGGGTCCACGCGACACGCGGTTTTGAGAGGGTGTCCTCCAGTCAAGCGTCAGCACAGACAGCTGGCATTTCCTCGTATTTTCCGCATTTCCTGCATTCTACGCCGATGTAAAGCATGATATCATTTTTAAATTTCACGCTACTGTTATGTTTTCCGAGTTTTCCCTCGCCTG